ATTTCTAAAAACCTGTTTTTGCTTTGTCATTATGGGGTATTGGGTGTAGATTGATGAGGGCAAAAAAAACAATTTAAACAATTTTAGAATAAGGCTGTAATGTAACATAAATGTGGAAAAAGTCAAGCAGTCTGAATACTTTCCGAAGGCACTGTATATTTGGCCTGGCGAAGCGATTTTATGCGCTGACTGAATGGAAGCTGATAATGAGTTTTAAACTCCACTTGTCTCTGGAAGAAATTAGGAGTCCTCACTGTCTGAGACCAAGTACAAATGTATCTGACACCGAGATAAGACCAAGACACTCAATATGTGGTCTCGAGACCGGACTCAAGACTAGTCTTGTGTACTACAACACTGGCTGTACTGGCTGCAATATGTAGGTAGCTAGATTAAAAGCGTTAGCTAAATAGCCAGCCAATATGCAGCTAGCAAGCTAAATTAGATCCTTTGAAAAGATAACTAACCAGCAAAGCAGTTTAGCTAATCTAGATGTCAGCATGCATAATTTGGAAATTGTCTTCCCATTTCAGTGTTTTAGAGAGTTATGAAAATAGTCTTGTCATTTTTTGATGCAATGTGCTTACCCTTTTCATGTGCTAACGTTAGCTAGCTGTAAAGGTCACTACTGTAGAAAATAGTTATTCTTGCTCAAGCGTGCGATGTCACGTTTGCTTTTTGAATTTGATTGGCTGATGGGGAAGAATTGGCAGAGTAGCTTAAACATTGGCCTTAGAGGAAGAAGCTCCTCCCAGACGCCCTAGAAGGCACCTAAATCACTTGAGCCAGAGCGGAAGAGAGGCCCAACTCGGTGGAAAATCTGTCTCCCTCCAGCAGATGACGTTTTTTAAAATTGTTTCACCCACCAAGCAAGGGGTTTTTGTATTGGGGTCAATGAGTGTGTCAAATTTGGTCAACAAAAACATTTATGGCTTATTTTCTACGTTTGGTTTAGTTGATCGAATAGAAGTTTCGTAATGCTTAAGTTGTTACGAGTGTATTGATATAATTAGGACACGTGACATTCCGGCAACTTTGAGAAAAAACACTTTATATCGGAGTTGTCTCAAGATGGCTATGCATATTCATGGCATGAGGCTTGTAGCATAGCAAGTCTCTCCATTGAATACAGGCAGTTGACGTCAACAACCCTCATCGAATATTCAAAAAGGATTACAATAATGACATGTATCCACCAATCCAAAGAAAGTATAGGCGGGAGCTAGACAGCCCGCTGTGCTGCTTTGTGGACAACAACTCCTATTGTTATTCATAATCTTTGCTTGAGCTCTTGCTTCATCCGCTCTGGTGTGACTCACAAAATGTCAGATAATTACTATAGCTCCCACCTTGGGCCAATCAGTGTAATTTTGTTTAAATGCTGGATCTCTATGGCAACCCTTACAAAAATGAATGTGTTGCGTCAAACTTCTCGCAACTGTGTGACAAATTTGCTTCAAACTGAATAGTGTGCCACAAAATGTTGCCAGAAGTTTGCCACTAGTGGTGAATCTGCTGCCAACAATAATATGTATTGCCACTAGTGGCAAACATTTCACCAAAGGATTTTTACCAGCAAACAATTCTTAAAATTCTGTTTGAATCTGTGGCAACAATATTTATTGCCGCTAGTGGCAAACAGATTACCAGAAGTCGTTTCTGGTGAACACGAGTTCTAAGACCAGTAACCGTTGATGACCAATCAGGGGGATTAGAAAGATCTGTTGGAAAATGGAAACCAAGCTATCCAGCTAGCTACCTACCAAAGTTTTCTGGTGAGTGGTGAACTTATTTATTAAACTTCCTATTAAACGTTTAAATTGTGTTAGCTAATTTATGCCTAGTTAGCAAAGTCATGTTTTATGGGACCGAGTGAAACATTGTTGATACCAGTTTCAATCTGCAGCACCACTGACTGGCTAGCGGACGTTAGCTATCATTTTTGCACAATTAATATGATTGCTAGCTAACTAATGATTTACCTAAACACATTTTAGGTGAATACGTTGCTCTTTTAATACCATGTCAATATGCCAGTGTCACTGTTCAGTAGCATGTTAGCTAGCACAACAGCTAAGGTAGCAACAATATGAGCTGACTTGACATCAACGCAAGACAACTTTTGCAGATGGATACCCTTCCCGAACCCGTTGTGTTGGAAGAGGCCGTATTGGGAGAAGGATACATAAACACCCTGGAAAGATGTTTGTGGTGCACTCACAACACTTTTTATTCTGATAAATGAGTATCTCCTTAAAGCTTGATGAGGTAAGCAAATGCATGTATTATTCTCATAAATGTAGCCCATATATTCATTCTTTGTAACAATTAGATATTTCATTGCTTTAAACTAGTAGCTAGCACATCTTGATCATGTGTTGTTCCTTCGCTCTTTCTAGAAGCAATCAGTTACAAGGCTAAAAGACACCTTCAAGACAACTAATAGACGACTGGCTCCTTGTACTTGGCCTATATACTCACCAGACATGTCACCCATTGAACATGTTTGGTATGCTCTGGATCGACGTGTATGACAGCGTGTACCAGTTCCCGCCAATATCCAGCAACTTCGCACAACCATTAAAGAGGAGTGGGACAACATTCTACAGGCCACAATCAACAGCCTAATCAACTCTATGCGAAGGAGATGTCACGCTGCACGAGGCAAGTGGTGGTCACACCAGATAGTCTCCCGAGTGGCGCAGTGGTCTAAGGCACTGCATCACAGTGCTAGCTGTGCCACTAGAGATCCTGGTTCGAATCCAGGCTCTGTCGTAGCCGGCCACGACCGGGAGACCCATGGGGCGGCGCACAATTGGCCCAGCGTCGTCCAGGGTAGGGGAGGGAATGGCCGGCAGGGATGTAGAGCATGGTGTTTGCAACGCCAGGGTTGTGGGTTCGATTCCCACGGGGGGCCAGTATGAAAAAAAATATATATAATAATAATAATGTAAGTCGCTCTGGATAAGAGCGTCTGCTAAATGACTAAAATGTAAAAATGTAAATACTGACCAACAGATGCATATCTGTATTCCCAGTCATGAAATCCATAGGGCCTAAAAAATTTTTTTCAATTGACTGAACTTATATGAACTGTAACTCTGTAAAATATTTGACATTGTTGCATGTTGCGTTTTATTTTTGTTCAGTGTATATAGAATGCCAGTGTCAGTGAGAAGCATAGCAAAATCAAGGCAACTTTGTAACAGCTGACCCCGATTTCCGAAAAGCCAAACCCGCCGAGTCTACCTTAAGATACCAAAATAGAAAATGTTTTCAGCAATTGTTTTCAGTATCCTAATTTTATTTTTGTTTTGCGGTTCCTGATTGTTTCAGTGCATGCATTCAACAAGCTTTGGACAAAGGACTTCCACTGGGCCGCTATCTCCAAAGTTAGCTCAAAAAGGCAATAGTTCTGAACTGGGTTTGATTTAGTTGTTTTAATTATTTACATTTTGTTAATTATCTTTTAAACTTCCACTGGTTGAAAGCTATTGCTCAGTTATCACTTAGCTCATGTAAATTCTGTAGTTGCCCCTTTAAACATCTTAAGGTCAACATCCCCATAGTGTTCATATTTCTCTCATGTAAATGTTGTACCTACATAAAAAGATTCGATAAACAATTTATTTGGGAAATATCCAGTCTTTGCTCTTTTCTTCATTAGCATGCAGATGATTTCAAGTTGTATTGGATTGATTTTTATCTGTTAAGACATTGAATACATGTTTAAAATATTTAGTACATTTATACTGAACAAAAATATAAACACAACATGCAACAATTTAAACGATTTTGCTGAGTTACAGTTCATATAATGAAATCAGTCAATTGAAATAAATTCATTAGGCCCTAACCTATGGATTTCACATGTGAGGGCAGGGGCGCAGCCATGGGTGGGCATAGGCCCACCCACTTGGGAGTCAGGCCCACCCACAAAAGGTCTTTATTACATTCAGAAATACTCCTCAGTTTCATCAGCTGACCAGGTGGCTTGTCTCAGACAATCCCGCAGGTGAAGAAGCCGGATGTGGAGGTCCTGGGCTGGCGTGGTTACACGTGAGGCCGGTTGGATGTACTGTCAAATTCTCTAAAATGACGTTGGAGGCGGCTTATAGTAGGAAATGAACATTACATTCTCTGGCAACAGCTCTGGTGGCCATTCCTGCAGTCAGCATGCCCTCAAAACTTGAGATATCTGTGGCATTGTGTTGTGACAAAACTGCACATTTTAGTGAGCTTTTATTGTCCCCAGCACAAGGTGCAGCTGTGTAATGATCATGCTGTTTAATCAGTTTCTTGATATGCCACACCCGTCAGATGGATGGATTATCTTGGCAAAGGAGAAATGCTCACTAACAAGGATGTAAACAAATGTGTGCACAATTTGTGAGAAATAATATTTTTGTGCATATGGAACATTTCTGGGATCTTTTATTTCAGCTCATGAAACATGGGACCAACACTTTACATGTTGCATTTATTTTTCTTCAGTATAGTCTGTTTAGTTTTCTTTGTGAGAAGCAAGTTTATTTAAAGTTTTGTGATTTGGTTTATGTAGATACATTTCAATGTTAACACACAGTAACCCTGATCTTATTTGCATATTCATACTGAGTTTGCAACAAATTTGCAAACAGAATATTCGCCAGAAGTTCACAATTCGCTGCAAATTTGCCACAACACTAATTTGCATGTGAAAATATGAGCTTGCCGCAAATTGGCCAAAGGTTTGCCAGTTCTTTCAGTAAGGGAAGAGTATCATTCACCGAAGTTTAGTCAAAATCGGGCCAGTGCTGTCAGACATTGCGTTACTAACGTACGAACGGATGGACAGAGACCGATCCACAGTCTCCTCCCCGTTTTCATCATGGGGGACAAGCAACAGAACTTGTTACACAGAACAAAGTCTTTATTTCTTAAATAGAATGGAAACTGTACAAAGCCGGAATGAACAGTTATTTGTGTGTGTCGCAGCATGCAGTCAGTGGTTGAGTCCCTCAGGGTGGTGTGGTCCTGTAAAGCTGGTCCAGTTTGCGTCGCAGCATGTTGTAGTTGTCCCGGGTGCCTGGGGCGTCTGGGTCCAGCTTCAGAGACAGCTCGTAGTGCTTCTTCGCCAGCTCCAGCTTCCCCCAGCGATGGTACAGCACCGCTGAGATGGAGGGGAGAGAGAGGAGAGACACAGACATTATTGTGATGCCAAAGACACATGTTGTGGAACACTCAGAATTATTCAGAATAAACATGCCTCTGATGTTAAGAATAAGGAATCACAATTCACGTCAGCCTATATTCATGACATTTCTATCTGCAATGTTCCACCTTGTACCTACTGAAGGTGGCCCATTAATTTACTTCATATGATGTTTGACCAACAATGTTTCTAAGTGTTACTCTTGCTTGAGACCAAACCTATCACATTATCCCAAAACAATTAATTAAATATACCACATTGAATATCATGGAGGTACTATGGCTTTATTTACGTGGCAAGTGTCTTAATACGAAAGAGAAATATACTGTATATGAAAAACATTTTTGTGGGTCTATAAGAACTATGGTCGACATCAAACGTAACTCGGAGCCCACTGGTCTTACCCAGATTGCCATGGCAACTGGCAGCATTTGGGTTGATCTTCAGAGCCTGGAGGAAGAAGCCTTCGGACTCCTGATTGGGCACAAAACACAGGACGTGTTTCAGTGTGTGTGTGTGTGTGTGTGTGTGTGTGGCCGCAATTAGGAGTGCAGTCCAAAAAATAGTTTCAATCCCATTGACTTCGGATTGGGTTGAGGTTAGGGCTGGTACAATTACCAGCTGAGCGAAGACGGGACGGTCGGACATTCATGCGGTTGAGTCTGTTTCTGCGGTAACATGGACTCTTAACGTGATGGAAATGTGTTGCTCCTTGCCGAAACAAGCAAGGTGTTGTAGCAAACAAGTGTTCGGTTGCCTAGGCAATGCCCCCCTCCTTGCAGCAGCAGCACACACACAGAAATAGAACGGGCTTGGAACCTCTAACCCTGGAAATTTGACTGGTAAACACATGGGTACACTCGCAATGGCTGCCTGGTATTGTGATACAATAATTTCCATTTTAATGTAGAATGTTCATTAAAATGATGTTAACTGATGTGGCTCATGCAATGTAATGTATTTTTTGTAATGTCAGTTGAGTTGAATCAACAAATCACAGCACATATTGACAGGTACACTTCCTGCTTTTACTTCCTGCTTTACTCCTAGGTTGAAGATAAAGGTTAGGACTCCATGTGAAAGCTTTTAGAAAATAAACATTCATGTGACCAGCGCTGCTGCAAACTACCAGCGCCGTTGCTAACTTGCATAGCTGGTCCCATTGTTGCAAAGAGTTACGGGATATTAGAATCCTCATCTTAACCTTTGTCATCTTCAACCTAGCTTTGCTCCTATGGGTATACTCGCAATGGCCGCCAGTCCACCCATAATGCCATCATTGACTTGAATGAGGACGTCTGTTTTATTCATTCTATTTCTATGGCAGCACATGGAGTCAGGAGCAGAGGAGAGGAGAAAATATGTCTACAATTGCTATTCCAATGGTTATAACGGTGACCACAGTCATTTGGTTGACCAATTACAGTCATCCAAAATTCCATGACCGTCACAGCCCTAGTTGAGGTAAATTATTGTAAGTAATTTCTCACTGGGCTTACTGACCTTATACTTCTGTAGTTTGCCCAGGACGTTGGCCAATGAGAACATGATGGTGTGGTCGTTAGGGAGGAGCTTTAGGGCCTCTCTGCCAATCGCCTCCGCCTGGGCTAGGTTGCCTAGACGACAAGAGAGAGAAGGGATAGACATGAGAAGGATAGACGGATAGTCAGACACACAGACAGGTGAGATTGAACTTGCTAGTTCAAAGCCTGTGGACCTGCAAGGTGGAAATTCAAGTCATGAGGATAACAAAGTTTAAAACTGACATACTACAAGTCAGCTTTAAAAGTCTTCATTGGAAGTCAATGCATTCACAGAATACAAACGTCAACTGCTTGTACGAATGTACAGAGCTTTAAAGCAAGTGCTTATACCTTTTTAGCATGGATAAAATGATGAAACCCAATATAAACTGAGCGCCCAGTGTGTGTGTATATATGTGTGTGTTGTAAAGCAGAGTTTTCCCTCGCCACACATGGAAGAACGCTTTAGCCTCCTAATTAGGAGCTGAACACAAGGACCACTGGCTTATTGATCTCTGTCAGAGACCTGTCTGTCTTTCTGTCTGACCAGGGAGGGAAGGTGGGAGGGAGAGAGATAGAGGGAGGGAGGGAGGGAAGGAAGGAAGAAGGGAGAGCAAGAGGGAGGGAGGGAGATGGGTAGGGGTGGAGAGAGAGGCCCTGAGTCATGCTCTGTGCACCATCATACATGTGCTTTGTGTGTGTGCGCTAGCTCTGCTTTGACTCTGTGCAATAAAAGAGAGAAGAAAGGAAGCACACCCCGGTTACTTTATGCTTTTTGGTGAGATGAAGTCTTGGCAGATTTGGGGAAGATATTATGTGGAGGAGGGGGATTCTGAATTCTGAGGGGGCACTTCTCTGTGTCTGCCTTGCGTTTGATCATGGCCACGCTGGCTGGCGATTGGATGGTTCCAGGGCCCTCCTGGGAGACCCCGCCCCCCTCGGGAGAAGCTTCTGACAAAAGCGGCGCCAATGTCTGGAAATCAGCGCATTCTCCACACGGCAGGGAAGAGTGCCTTTAGAAAACTCCACACACAAAGCTTTAATACATAAATTTCAAGCATTGCTGGTTCCTGCTCTTCCGGTCTAATCACGTTGGGCGCTTCGATCACATTTTTTAAATCTTTGTCTCTGTCTTCACTGCTGTTAACGTACAGAAACAATCTTTGCGTATGGATGGATGAGTAAAAATATGAGGCATTTGACTAACTCTGCGGCACATGTAATCAATGGAAATTCATCCATTACTCAACTATTAAAGATGGATTTTGAATATCCAAAATTTGGGCACAAAACACAGCAAGTGATGGGTATTGTCACTCAAAGTATCTCCCATTAGACAGCAACTGTGGTGTGTTTGCGTCAAAGTGTGTGTTAGAGGTGTGTGTATGTGGTGCGCACATGGCTCTAAAGTACGACCATTTTGGTTGCTTATGCTCCTAGATATATATGCTGCCAGAAAAATAATTGTTGTAATGATAGTCTTCACTGTGCAGTTGTTTCTAAGTGCCCTAGAGAAAAAAGCGAGCGCAGATTTGTGTAATCCAAAGCCTACATGTAAAGAATATTATTATTTTGTATTTCTTGCAACTTTCTGAAGACGTAAAGGTATGGGAATGCCTGTGTCTACCACTGCGTTGCCAGATAGTGATGCCGAAATAGTCATTTCTTAAGGCTTTCCCATAAAACTTTCCAAATTAAATGTTAACTGCTAAGTAGACTTACCTGACAGAATAATATGATATCATGATGATTTGTATCAATCGGGTGTCTTTTGTTTTACAAACTCTGCTATTGCGCATGCAGTACAGAAACATCGCCAGCCAAACACCTCTCTTGAGGTGCACAATTGAAATTAAAAGGGCAACTATACCCTCCAAAATATGTATTTATTTCTTCCCCAGACCTCAAATGTGGTCTCCTGATGTGGTTTAAGCATTCTTGTGGACTTAGAATATCCAATTTGGTTTCTCTATTGAAAAGGTGTGATTTTGAGAGTGAATAAATGTATTGGCTGGTAAGAATTCTGAGTGGTTGGTAGATTTTTTAATCTATCTGCAACAGTGGCTGGTGGACCAAAATGTACGTTTTTAAGCTCTCGTCATAAACCATGTCGCGGGTCATTCGTGGTCCTCTGTAGCTCAGCTGGTAGAGCACGGCGCTTGTAACGCCAGGTTAGTGGGTTCGATCCCCGGGACCACCCATACACAAAAATGTATGCACGCATGACTGTAAGTCGCTTTGGATAAAAGCGTCTGCTAAGTGGCATATTATTATTATTATAAAACCACAAATTTGTTTACACCTTGTTCAGTCATGTTACCTCATTAGCTAGCAAGCTAACAACCTGGTTACTTTACCAGTATATATAAACATTTGGGGGCACAGAAAGAAAGATAGCTTCTTTAGAAGATCAATGATCAGCAATGAATGAATGACTGATCTCTTGAGAGTCCTCACTCAAACTTGATGCTCTTAAAGAGACAGTGTAGAATTTAATATAATGCATCTCAATAGGTAGTGCTTTAACACAATGCAGAAACCTAATATTGCACAAACGACTTAGTAATTTCCATGACAGGTTTTTGTATCAACATTCTAGCTTTTTAGAAAAAACACGTCTTTACAGGGTTGAATATTTGTTTATAGAGCGTTACGTGCTTCAGAAGTAGCTAGAATTCATATTGGCCTGATATGCTATATGTCTTCTGGTGCTCCTAGATTTTATGTTGTACTCTTAACTTTTTTAAGTGCACCAGTGCTACCAATATGTATTTATTTATTTAGAGCCCTGGCTGCGCATGCATGTTTGTCTGTGAAAGTGTGTGTTAGTAGTGTGTGTATGTGGTGCGCGTGCATGTGGTAGTGAGTGTGTGTGTGCGTGTGTGAGTGTGGTTACCAGTGTTGTCCAGTAGTATGACCATGTTGTTCCATGCCAGGCTGTGGTCAGGCTTCAGTACTGTAGCATTCCTCCACGCATTCAGAGCATCTAGGTGTCTGTTCAGGTCTGCATACTGGAGAGGAAATTAGATATTAACATTCTAGCAAACCACATCACCTTCATTCATTTATGTTTTAGTAACTTCACTCAATATACTATGAATCATCAAAGCCACAATCTGAAGTCTGTATTTGAGGCTTACAGCAGCCCTGCCACTAGGTTTGGAACAGAACAAGCTACAGTACCTCATCGGGAAAAGTTACCACTCTCAAATCCATTGAATTAACTTTTTCTGCATAGACTGCCAGTCCATGAGATCAACATGATAGATTTAAACATGTAGTTGATTTAACCTTAGATTTTGGGTTATAACAGTACTAAGCTCATAAGGCATTTAATAACATATTCTTCAATAATTAATGAGTGTAAATTGTATTGACTGTTTAACGGTAGGACATTTTACGGATTGTGGATTTAAGTCCAACCTCGGATTGTGGCTTTAAGTCCAACTTATGTACTCACCAGGCGTCCCAGGTTGTAGTAACAGTCAGGGTATTTCTTCCGGAATTGGATGGCGTTCCAGTAGCTCTGCTCTGCTTCCTTAAACTTCATCAGACTGTTTTGCACTATTCCCAGATTCATCCACGCTGCTGCAAAGTCCGGCCTGGAACAAAACAAATAGAAGATGTTTCTCAGAAGAACACAACAGTTGCATTTAATGTCTGGAATGTTTTGTTTTGTGTTAAATCAAAGGCTAATAAATAATTGATGATTTTTTCTGTTTGTGTGTGTGTGTGTGTGTGTGTGTGTGTGTGTGTGTGTGTGTGTGTTTATGTGCGTGCGTGCAGGTCAGTGTGTGTATGTCCACCTACTGTATGAGTACAGCTTTAGCCAGCAGCTCCTCTGCCTCCACCAATTCGTTCCTCTCCTTCAGGATGTTGCCCAGGTTGTTCATAGCATGGACGTACTTAGGGTGTAACCTGACACAAAACACAGCTAGAGAATTAACATGGAGTACCTTTAAAACAATCCTGAGGTTCAATGGTTCAGACCGTGGGTTTGATAAATTATGGAGTATCATCATGACATATGCTTTCCAATGCATCTGTTCCAATATCCACAGTAGCATACCACCTAGTATGAAACAATGTATTGGGTATAAGTGGTATACTAGTATGGACATTGGAATGTAACCTACATGTACCCAAGAGCCATACTATAGAACTATAGAAAAACTCATATTAAGAGTGTGAACCTGTAGTATTCGTACCTGACTGCCTCTCTGTAGTACTTGATGGCAGCACTGGTGTTCCCTCTGTCTGCTAGGTTCTTACCCACATTATAATGCACCTGGAGAGGGGCAGAGGCAGGAAAAGTGAAAATGAAATAAAAACAAACAAATAAAATAAAATATAAATACAACATATTTTGAATAGTTTGGGCATCATTTTCCAGACTGTTTGAGGACATAATATGGTCTGACAAAGAGGCACAGACAGACAGAGACAGACCAATTGATGCACCAGCCATCCTGACAGACAGACACAGACACACAAGCCAGCCAGAAAGATAGACACAGACAGACAAACAGCACCTTGGCATTGAGGGGACAGACTGACAGGGCGCTGGTGAAGAGGCTCTGCTCGGAGCGCCACTGGTGACTGCGCAGGGCACAGCGAGCCACATACACACATAGCAGGGCCAGCAGGGAGGCACGGAGCAGCCCCTACAACACACAAGAGGACCATCCGTTAAGACAGGACAATGAAGTGAAGGCAATGAAGTGAACCCTGTTTGATTCAGGAGCTCCATCCTAACAGTCTTAAAATCCTCCCTCTTTTCCATGTCTGACAAAAGACTAGATCAGGTGACCAAACATGTGGAGAACCTCTAAAATCAGGTCAAATGTATGTGATGTGTATCTTTTAGCTGGCCAAGGGTGTGTATATTCTCTACCTTGCATCTGCTCCAGCGGCCGCAGCAGTGTCCCAGGGCGTAGGCCAGTAGCAGACAGTAGCCAGCGGAGGAGAGGTAGAGGACCCTCTCTGCAATGACGAAGCCAACCCTGAAGAAGATGTTGCAGGCGGGCAGGAAGGGGACTACCAGCAGCACCAGACCCAGGGTCAATGTTCTGACAAGAGTCACAGGGTGAAAATAATACTTTATAATAATTTTCATGAAATAAGTATTCCATTTATTTTCCGTAATACCATACCAAATCATTCCAGGCCATTTCTTAAACTTTTTTTTAAAAAACAGCTATGGTTAAAAAAGGTTTTAAAAGTGTCAATCTGTCCTCTTCCTGTGGCTCCTCTCCTCTCTCAGGGATCTGCGGCTCGGTATGTCATAGATTTCTTAGAGTTCCTCTTCTCTTTGAGTTCAATCTGAGCAAAAGGTCACGTCACTTAGTTCACCTGTAACTCTTCCTGTCTTCACTGCAGAGTAGACTATTAGATGGAACTGGCTTCTAATAAGACATTTCAAATGTCATTATGTCTATGTACAGTGTTGTAACGATGTGCAAATAGTAAAACTACAAAAGGGAAAATAAATAAAACATAAATATGGGTTGTATTTACAATGGTGTTTGTTCTTCACTGGTTGCCATTTTCTTGTGGCAACAGGTCACAAATCTTTCTGCGGTGATTGCACAATGTGGTATTTCACCCAATAGATATGGGAGTTTATCAAAATTGGATTTGTTTTCAAATTTTTTGTGGGTCTGTGTAATCTGAGGAAAATATGTCTTTAATATGGTCATACATTTGGCAGGAGGATAGGGAAGTGCAGCTCAGTTTCCACCTCGCTTTGTTGGCAGTGTGCACATAGCCTGTCTTTTCTTGTGAGCCAGGTCTGCCTACGGCAGCTAGCTAGTTTAGCCTACTCTGCAAATGCAGCTAGTTAGTTTAGCCTACTCAAACACCCTGATCAAACAGAGGGATGCCATGTTAACTGGCTGGCTATGAATATCCAACACAACACTTGAACTCTTCCAAGTCAAGGTAAACTTTTGGTTTTAATAATTTATTGCCACAGGGGCCTGCCAGTGTAACTGCTAAACTGTTTACTGACTGACTGTACACTAACGTTACTGCATGATTGCAGCAGGTTTACTAACGTGTTAGTTCTATTAGCTACAGTTGAAGTAGAAAGTTTAAATACACTTAGGTTGGAGTCATTAAAACTAATTTTTCAACCACTCCACAAATGTCTTGTTAACAAACTATAGTTTTGGCAAGTTAGGACATCTACTTTGTGCATGACACAAGTAATTTTTCCAACAATTGTTTACAGACACTATATTTCACTTATAATCCACTGTATCACAATTCCAGGGGGTCTGAAGTTTACATACACTAAGTTGACTGTGCCTTTAAACAGCTTGGAAAATTCCAGAAAATTATGTCATGGCTTTAGAAGCTTCTGATAGGCTAATTGACATCATTTGAATCAATTGGAGGTGTACCTGTGGATGTATCTCAAGGCCTACCTTCAAACTCAGTGTCTCTTTGCTTGACATAATGGGAAAAGCAAAAGAGATCAGACAAGACCTCAGAAAATAAATTGTAGACCTCCACAAGTCTGGTTCATCCTTGGGAGCAATTTCCAAACGCCTGAAGGTACCACGTTCATCTGTACAAACAACAGTACTTAAGTATAAACACCATGGGACCACGCAGCCGTCATACCGCTCAGGAAGGAGACGCGCTCTGTCTCCTGGAGATTAACGTACTTTGGTGCGAAAAGTGCAAATCAATCCCAGAACAACAGCAAAGGACCTTGTGAAGATGCTGGAGGAAACAGGTACAAAAGTATCTATATCCACAGTAAAACGAGTCCTATATTGACATAACCTGAAAGGCTGCTCAGCAAGGAAGAAGCCACTGCTCCAAAACCGCCATAAAAAAGCCAGACCACGGTTTGCAACTGCACATGGGGACAAAGATCGTACCTTTTGGAGAAATGTCCTCTGGTCTGATGAAACAAAAATATAACTGTTTGGCCATAATGACCATCGTTATGTTTGGAGGAAAAAGGGGGTGCTTGCAAGCCGAAGAACACCATCCCAAACGTGAAGCACAGGGGTGGCAGCATCATGCTGTGGGGGTGCTTTGCTGCAGTAGGGACTGGTGCAATTCACAAAATAGGTGGCATCATGACGAAGGAAAATGATGGGAATATATTGAAGCAACATCTCAAGACATCAGTCAGGAAGTTAAAGCTTGGTCGCAAATGGATCTTCCAAATGGACAATGTATACTTCCAAAGTTGTGGCAAAATGGCTTAAGGAAAACAAAGTCAAGGTATTGGAGTGGCCATCACAAAGCCCTGACCTCAATCCTATAGAAAAGTTGTGGGCAGAACTGAAAAAGCGTGTGCGAGCAATGAGGCCTACAAACCTTACGCAGTTACACCAGCTCTGTCAGGAGGAATGGGCCAAAATGCACCCAACTTGTTGTGGGAAGCTTGTGGAAGGCTACCCGAAACGTTTGACCTAAGTTAAACAATTTAAAGGCAATGCAACCAAATACTAATTGAGTGCATGTAAACTTCTGACCAACTGGGAATGTGAAGAAATAAATAAAAGCTGAAATAAATCGTTCTCGCTACTATTATTCTGACATTTCACATTCTTAAAATAAAAGTGGTGATCCTAACTGACCTAAGACAGGGAATTTTTACTAGGATTAAATGTCAGGCAGTGTGAAAAACTGAGTTTAAATGTATTTGGCTAATTTATTTTTTTATTTAATTTTTTATTTAACCTTTATTTAACCAGGTAGGCCAGTTGAGAACAAGTTCTCATTTACAACTGTGACCTGGCCAAGATAAAGCAAAGCAGTGTGATAAAAACAACAACACAGAGTTACATACAGTGGGGAGAACAAGTATTTGATACACTGCCAATTTTGCAGGTTTTCCTACTTACAAAGCATGTAGAGGTCTGTAATTTTTATCATAGGTACACTTCAGCTGTGATAGACAGAATCTAAAACAAAAATCCAGAAAATCACATTGTATGATTTTTAAGTAATTAATTTGCATTTTATTGCATGACATAAGTATTTGATACATCAGAAAAGCAGAACTTAATATTTGGTACAGAAACCTTTGTTTGCTATTACAGAGATCATACGTTTCCTGTAGGTCTTGACCAGGTTTGTACACACTGCAGCAGGGATTTTGGCCCACTCCTCCAGACCTTCTCCAGATTCTTCAGGTTTCGGGGCTGTCGCTGGGCAATACGGACTTTCAGCTCCCTCCAAAGATTTTCTACTGGGTTCAGGTCTGGAGACTGGCTAGGCCACTCCAGGACCTTGAGATGCTTCTTACGGAGCCACTCCTTAGTTGACCTGGCTGTGTGTTTCGGGTCGTTGTCATGCTGGAAGACCCAGCCAGGACCCATCTTCAATGCTCTTACTGAGGGAAGGAGGTTGTTGGCCAAGATCTCGCGATACATGGTCCCATCCATCCTCCCCTCAATACGGTGCAGTCGTCCTGTCCCCTTTGCAGAAAAGCATCCCTAAAGAATGATGTTTCCCACGCCATGCTTCACGGTTGGGATGGTGTTCTTGGGGTTGTACTCATCCTTCTTCTTCCTCCATACACGGCGAGTGGAGTTTAGACCAAAAAGTTATATTTTTGTCTCATCAGACCACATGACCTTCTCCCATTCCTCCTCTGGATCATCCAGATGGTCATTGGCAAACTTCAGAAGGGCCTGGACATACGCTGGCTTGAGCAGGTGGACCTTGTGTGCGCTGCAGGATTTTAATCCATGACGGCGTAGTGTGTTACTAATGGTTTTCTTTGAGACTGTGGTCCCAGCTCTCTTCAGGTCATTGACCAGGTCCTGCCGTGTAGTTCTGGGCTGATCCCTCACCTTCCTCATGATCATTGATGCCCCACGAGGTGAGATCTTGCATGGAGCCCCAGACCGAGGGTGATTGACCGTCATCTTGAACTTCTTCCATTTTCTTATAATTGTGCCAACAGTTGTTACCTTCTCACCAAGCTGCTTGCCTATTGTCCTGTAGCCCATCCCAGCCTTGTGCAGGTCTACAATTTTATCCCTGATGTCCTTACACAGCTCTCTGGTCTTGGCCATTGTGGAGAGGTTGGAGTATGTTTGATTGAGTGTGTGGACAGGTGTCTTTTATACAGGTAATGAGTTCAAACAGGTGCAGTTAATACAGGTAATTAGTGGAGAAGAGGAGGGCTTCTTAAAGAAAAACTAACAGGTCTGTGAGAGCCAGAATTCTTACTGGTTGGTAGGTGATCAAATACTTATGTCATGCAATAAAATGCAAATTCATTACTTAAAAATCATACAATGTGATTTTCTGGATTTTTGTTTTAGATTCCGTCTCTCACAGTTGAAGTGTACCTATGATAAAAATTACAGACCTCTACATGCTTTGTAAGTAGGAAAACGTGCAAAATCGGCAGTGTATCAAATACTTGTTCTCCCCACTGTATGGGATAAACAAAAATGTACAGTCAATAACACAATAGAAAAATAGAAAATCTATATACAGTGTGTGCAAATGTAGTAAGTTATGGAGGTAAGCAATAAATAGGCCATAGTGCAAAAATAATTACAATTTAGTATTAACACTGGAGTGATAGATGTGGAGCAGATGATGTGCAAATAGAGATACTGGGGTGCAAATGAGCAAAATAAATAACAATATGGGGATGAGGTAGTTGGGTGGGCTAATTACAGATGGGCTGTGTACAGGTGCAGTCATCGGTAAGCTGCTCTGACAACTGATGCTTAAAGTTAGTGAGGGAGATAAGAGTGTATGTAAACTTCCGACTTCAACTGTACGTTTACTATGACGTTACTTTAGCTAATATGTTGACAACAATGTAGGCTGTGTGTAGCGGTAATATGGTTTGGCTTGGAAAGGTTTTTTCACCTGGTCTCCTACAGCTGATGTTGTTGTGCACTGAAGTCCACAAGCGAAGGGAAAAGTTGAGAGGAGTAGAGCGGATAGATGCGAGAAGGAATACGACGTGGCTGCTATGAAAGTGAACTGTGTGTTTATGCGTGATCAGGGGTGTATTCATTCCACCAATTCTGTTGAAAAACGTTTCTTAAACGGAAGCAAACGGAACAAAAAGGGGATAAACATACCTGAATTTGTCCAATAGAAACTTGGACTAATTATTACACCTTAGAACAGCTAGATGCAGGCAAGAGTGTGCAAGGCGGTATTGAATGTGTCACTGTCAGTCCATGTGTATGTGTCACCTCAAATTTTTCTCTCAACCTGTGTGCACCTATGTTGTAAACTTTCATTCAAAGGCTAGGTTGTAGCAACCTCATGATGGGTATAGGGAAAATGTGAGTATCATGTAGTACCTTAAACCTATCGATCTTATATTGAACTGGGTGAATGGGAATATGAATGACAGTCAACCAATATGTTGTAATAGAAATAAAGCCATGCTCATGAAAAAAAAAAAAGGTCCTCCCTCATCTTAATACGGCACCGACCGCCACTGGTATGTAGATCCACTGCTTGTGTACCTCTTCACTATCCATCCAGTAGAGCTCCCCTGCATCTCACAGCTCAGTAAGAGACATCTGAGAGTAACAGTTTATTTTCAAGTATCTGTGGCCATGGATGCAGTGAGAACAGCCTTTAGTCCTTGAGTGTGTCCAGCATAGATGTATGTACTCACTAAGAGTAGCATATAGAGTGAAGTGTGTTCCATTCTGCCCTGCCAGTGAGTGGTAGCTCTTTTGTCAAGATGTGTTATATAGTAGCCCCCCTCCCAAGTTCCTGTGTGCAGACACACTGGTGCACACACTGATCTGACGTCACTTACATAGTCATTTCTTAGAAAAGCCTAGCACAGTTGTGATAAGCTGTCTTTTCCGATTCATACCTTTGTTAACGAGCATCCCTCCTTTCCTTTGTTTGCTGAAATGCAGAGGCCCAAATCAAATCAATGTATATTGGTCGCGTGGTGACTGTTCAACAGTCTGATGGCCTGGAGATATAAGCTGTTTCTCAGTCTCTCGGTCTAGATGGTAGCAGGGTGAACAGGTTGTGGCTCGGGTACTACTTATCTTCTTGGCTTTCCTGTGACACCGGGTGCTGTAGATGGCTGTAGATGTCTTGGAGGACGGGCAGGCAGGCAGTGTGCCCCCGGTGATGCGACGGTGCTGTTGCGCCTTCTTCCCCATGCTGTCTGTGTGAATGGACCATTTCAGGTTCAGTGATGTGCACGCCGAGGAACTTGAAGCTTTTGATCCTCTCCACTGCGGCCCCGTTAATGTGCTCTTTCTGCTGTCCTGTAGTCCACGATCAGCTCCTTCGTTTTGTTGACGTTGAGGGAGAGGTTATTTTCCAGGCACCACTCCGCCAGGGCTCTCACCTCCTCCCTGTAGGCTGTCTCATCGTTGTTGGTAATCAGGTCTCCCACTGTTGTGTCGTCAGCAAACATGATGATTGAGTTGGAGACAAGTGTGGCCACGTAGTCATGGGTGAACAGGGAGTACAGGAGGGGCTGAGATTGCAACCCTGTGAGGCCCCCGTGTTGAAGATCAGTGGCGGAGGGGTTGTTGCATACCTTCACCACTTTGGGTCGGCCCACCTGAACTCACACATATTCTTTGAATGAGGGTCTGCAGTGAACAGGATGTGAGGAGGAAGAGGTGGGTGTGTGTTTCACTGCTTTGACCCGTCTATAGAAAAGGTAATGGTTTGTGGTCATACCAACATCCTTTAAAAAAAAACCTTGGTGGAAGTGGAAACATAACACTGGGCTAATGAAGTATAGTAGAACAAAACAGAAAGGCCTGCACACTATATATGCTTCTAATTACCACCTTAATTTGCAACATTTCAAAGGATCCTCGTCACAGCATATTCAGTGTGCTGGCCATTGTTCTTTATCACTGCTTGGACTCCTAAAAAAACACTGTTACATAGTACTTACAACAAATAGACATACTGTGTAATATCCAGTTGTAAGTCAGCTGATATTATTCTGAAAGTTTCTATAAAGTGATCCAAGATTTGATGCTTGAGTCACATTACAGTACATTTGATCCACTGTTCATAACTGAGTGTGCAACATTGTGACCAAACATGTTTTATCTTGACAACAGTGTGTGTGTATGTGTGTGTGCATGCACGTGTCGGCTGGACTTTCTCCTACCTCCTCCTCTGGCTGTCCTGTGAGCATAAGGCTTGGCTTATCAAGCCTATCAGGAAGCACCAGAGCAGCAGCAGCCAGGCCGTCCTCCAATCAAACGCTGACTTAATGAGGGGCACACAGCCCATGGACCAATCAAAACACAGCCACCAGGGACACAGCAGCACCCAGGCATTCAGTGAGTAGTAGTAATTATAGTTGACTATCTGCCAATCACACAGAACAGGACAGGGGATGAGAATGAAAGAGGTTAGGGGGAGGGAGAGAGAGACAAAATAAGAACATTTCAAATAAAAAAGCACAGACAATCAATGGATTGATACGATTATGATTGGTGTACTACTATAGAGGTCTGCGCGGGACTGATTTCTTCATCCCGCTCCCACCCGCAGCTTTTCATACCCACCCCGCCCACAGCCGCTGGCTTTCTGTCCGACTCCCACCCACTACCGCAAGAACTGGTCCCAAACCCAACCGCAGTCCCGCAATGTTATTTTAGGCGTATGTGCCGCAGCTCACTTGCCAACCATGGTCACAGCATTTTTTTGCCCTATTGGCAATATCAAATGCGCAAAAATAACTTAAGAAATAGGTTAAATTACCAGAGATTCTCACGTGGCCCATTATATATTAGGCTATCTGTATTACTGGGCTATATCAGCCAATATGCTAGATGTAGTTTGAAGAGAACAGAGTTGGAGAGACTTGACCTTTCTCTTGAGCAATTTTTATAGCCTACCTTTAAGGAGTGGGAAGATTTTCCAACAGAGAAATATGGGTGATCAATATTTATTTCTAGGCAGTGTAGTAAACTATAGCTTAATCATATTTAGAAAGTACATTTCCTTGGAAAGATAACTGCCCAGTGCTTCTCCGCCCATGCATAGGCTATAGCCTAGTCTATATAATTGAGACCACACCTGATCTTGCACGTATGGCTACTGAAATTGAAGCAGCAAGAACGATGACAGCGACACTTGCTACGTTTTGCATATAGGATATAGCCTATCTTTTAGGAGGCCAATTTGCAGGCAGAGACAAATAAATGGGTAATCAATACTTATTAAAAAATGAAAAGGCGCCGTGTTCATATTTGAGTTAACTGTCATGTGTTTCTCCGCCCATGTAGGCAGTCTACTCTATTTCAATGAGACCACACTTACTAGGCGTATTTGAACTCGCATGCCCAACTAGGAGAAAAGGGGTAGGCTACTGAAGTTGGAGTAGCAAATTCTGAGTGTGTGAATAATGTGAAAAATATGTGCTTTTAATACAATAGGTAGGCTTTGGCTAACGCATACAATGCAGAAAGATGACCGCTTCCAAATAATCTGCGGGACAACAAAAATATTTTCATCCCAAAGTTGTCTGTCTGACCGCCCGCTCCGACCAGCAGCATGAAAATTTCTGCCCACACCACGGGAACGCCGCCCTCTAGTGTACTAGACTTAAGGGGAGAGGGTGATATTTAGATGTTTTCAACTGTTAAGAGTAAGTCCTAAAAATACTACCCAAAACCAAAAAATGAAGGGATCAAAGTATGGTTAGTTAATCCATTTAGATTTTGTGTCCTGACATAACTTTCTTAAAAATAATTTCCTTCCATAAAGGAGGGCGAGGTTACAAATAGCCATAATAATAGTTATTTAGCCTACACACTCTAATCCAGTATCATTAAAATACATAAAACATGACTCACTCTGAGAAATACATTTTCTGCAAAGGATGCTGGGTTGTCTACTTCGGTGAAGGCGGGGGGGCCAGTTCCCATGATTCTCCAGCGGGCATACAGCAGGAAGGCTCCGCCCATGGCCAGCAGAGCCAAACGGGTCAGGAGGCCCGTCCGCACTCGCTCACTCACCTGACACGGCACACACCAGACAAACATCCTGTCACACATAGTAATAATTCCTACATCTTGCATAACTAATCATGTTTGCATCATTCAGTGTAGAGGCGTCCACAACAACAACAACATCCTGAGTCCAAATTAAGTACACTTACCTAACCACAGGGTACATGATCAGTACATGTTAGATGGCTATTATGGTGCTTTTCCATACAGGATGATATGGAAAAGCCATGGCCCAGTGTTTCACCCAAAAGGCTCAAACTTTTCTGTCTATGCAGGGCCAGCACTGGGCCATGGCTCCGGCGGACATGCTCTCACATGGGGCCAAAGCCAGGCAACTGGTACTTTTCTGCTTGCATTTACATAACAATTGCAAATTGTGAACTTTATCACCTTCTCACAAAGCCACTGTTTTGATTACGCAGAGGTTGTTGATTTGTGAAATCCTCACCGTCAGCCCTAGCTACGGAAACACAACTTCCCTAGTATAACATAAGCCCATATACAGTAGTGTAGCAAGAAATGCAACATAATTAGTGTAAGAGGTAGAGCCCGACCAATCTATCGGTTTACCAATATTAAGTTGGCCAATATTAGCCTTTTACCGATGTATTTGTATCAGCATTTGATCCATTGAAAAGGACCTATACAAGATGCAGAGCAAACGCTCTGCAAAAAAGTTGTTCTTCATAGAATTTCACTTTATCGTGCATTTAATTATTTGTCCTGAGGGCGGCAATAGTACTGCTCGTCCATTTTGAGACGCTGTAGCCAGTACACACTTCCTCAAAATAGTCAGAATTAATCTAAGTTAACTCAAGAAATCTTCTATTAATTTTGACGTTTTTGCAGAGGAGATCTTAGTCATGCAATTTTACATTAACTAAGATGTTTGGTGCAGTATTTATCAATGAAAAACTGTGCATGAACACGAGTCGTCTCTCGTTGAATGACAACAAAGACTTTATTGAAGAATCTCTTCTGTTGACCAATCACCGACAAAAAGGGCATAGACTTCGGCTACTGACTTCAGCAAGCCTCGAGAAAAGATGTCCTGTGCCCGAAAAGCCCCCCCAAAACTTACCGAAGTACAAAAACGTAACAAAATGTCATCATACTATATGCCCGAACATTTCCGAACTGTTTCGGCTGGGAAGCATGCAGATGCCTTAAGACTGGACAATACCAGCTTGCCAGCTCAATAAAGTGCCAAAAATGCGCCCTGGGCATATACCTTTACGTGAAGTCTCATGGTAGGGTGTCAGGTCGTGACAAACAATGGATGGTATGCCCAAATGTAAAGTAAGTACCGTGCTAAGAACATTCACCTCTGTGGTAACGTTAACGCCCTTTAGTTAAGCCAGCGAAATCTGGTGTTATATTTGCTCTTTGCGAAGTGTATTCCTCAAGCTCTGTCATTCAAATGTTTTCAGAGACACACAAAAAAAACTTTGCAGGTTACAAAGACGACATTGTAGACTCTTCTGATGACAGTGATGGGGAAGAAACAGCAATCAACTTTGTTGTTGTCACGGAAGATGTTGACCGAGTTTTGAAATCAGTGGAATGTCTGGAATGTGACTTGACACAACGGGCCAAGCAAGCTGTACAAACAAAAAGGAAACGACACAGGACGTCTTATTTAATGAAAGGGGTTGCAGTCTGCCGTAAAGCGTTCATCCATGTATACAGGTAAGAGTCTAGCTACAGTTTCAGATATTATGCCATTTCGCATTGCTAGTTATAGTATAATGTTAGCTAGTTAACTAGCAAACATTGAACCTATTTGGTTAACCTTAGCTAGCTATGACAATCGGTTTGTATTGCTAGTACTCTATGGATTGGGATTATGGGTCATTGTTTAGCTAGCTAGCTAGCTAGCTACATGTCTAAACAAAAGACCCCAAGTTAAAGCTTACTGTTAGCTAGCTACTTGACGTTAGATGGCTGGCTTGCTAGCTAACATTACATGTGTGATCTGTGTGTAGTGATGTTATCTCAGAATGCCATTTCGCATTGCTAGTTAAAGCCTAATGTTAGCTAGCTAACTAGCTAACATTGAACCTATTTAGTTAACTTAAACTAGCTATGACAATCAGTTTGTATTGCTAATACTCTATGGATTGAGATGATGGTTAATTGTTTAGCTAGCATTTTTAGCTAGCTAGCTACATGTCTAAACAAAAGACCCCAAGTTAAAGCTTAGTGTTAACTAGCTATCTGACGACCCATCAAGTTATCCAGGTGTGTCTGACGGTGATTACGGCTATCTATTGTATAATAATGCTAAAACCTCCAACATGATTGGCACTACTTTTATTGATCTCACATTATGTCTGTATTTTCCAGAGGTACGTGTAGTCGGGCTGTCTTCCTTCAGGAATCTGTGGAGAAAATTGCTGCCCCACATCTCAAGCACTAAGCCCAGGACAGACCTGTGCTGGCAGTGCCAGAGGAACAACTATCAGGTCTTCAGATCTGCCAATCTGCCAGAAGATGTTAAGTCAGCCAAGCTGAAGAAGCAAGAGCAGTGGTGTGTCTACCAGAAGATGGTTGCTGACTGCAAGACCACCTGTCAAGACCTGCCGTTGTCTCTGGGGGCCCCTACTGAACCAGCAAGCAAAGACATCAGGATGCATTACAGCTTTATTTTTGCTCAACAAGTAAGCAACATTTCCTCCTTTATAATGATTTTTTAAATTATATACAGTACCAGTCAAAAGTTTGGACACACCTACTCATTCAAGGGTTATTCTTAAATGTTTGACTATTTTCTAAATTTTCTAACACTTATGGAATCATGTAGTAACCAAAAAAGTGTTAAACAAATATATTTTATATGAGATTCTTCAAAGTAGCCACCCTTTATCTTGATGACAGCTTTGCACAGTGTTGGCATTCTCTCAACCAGCTTCATGAGGTAGTCACCTGGAACGCATTTCAATTAACAGGTGTGCTTTGTTAAAAGTTAATTTGTGGAATTTCTTTCCTTCTTAATGCGTTTGAGCCAATCAGTTGTGTTGTGAAAGGTAGGGTGTTATACAGAAGATAGCCCTATTTGGCAAAAGTCCAAGTCCATATTATGGCAAGAACAGCTCAAATAAGCAAAGAGAAACGACAGTCCATCATTACTATAAGACATGAAGATCAGTCTATACGGAACATTTCAAGAACTTGCAGTCGCAAAAACCATCAAGTGCTATGATTAAACTGGCTCTCATGAGGACCACCACAGGAAAGGAAGAGCCAGAGTTACCTCTGCTGCAGAGGATAAGTTCATTAGAGTTAACTGCACATCAGATTGCAGGTCAAATAAATGCTTCACAGAGTTCAAGTAACAGACAGATCTCAACATCAACTATTCAGAGGAGACTGCGTGAATCAGGCCTTCATGGTCGAATTGCTGCAAAGAAACCACTACTAAAGAACACCAATAAGAAGAAGAGACTTGCTTGGGCCAATAAACACGAGCAATGGACATTAGACCGGTGGAAATCTGTCCTTTGGTCTGATGAGTCCAAATTTGAGATTTTTGGTTCTAACCGCCGCGTCTCACAAATACGCAGAGTAGGTGAACGGATGATCTCTGCATGTGTGGTTCCCACCGTGAAGCATGGAGGAGGTGTGATGGTGCTTTGCTGGTAAGACTGTGTGATTTATTTCGAGTTCAAGGCACACTTAACCAGCATGGCTACCACAGCATTCTGCAGCGATACGCCATCCCATCTGGTTTGCGCTTAGTGGGACTATCATTTGTTTTTCAACAGGACAATGACCAAACACTCCTCCAGGCTGTGTAAGGGCTATTTGACCAAGAAGGCGAGTAATAGAGTGCTGCATCAGATGACCTGGCCTCCAACCAATTGAGATGGTTTAGGATGAGTTGGACAAAAGAGAGAAGGAAAAGCAGCCAACAAGTGCTCAGCATATGTGGGAACTCCTTCAAGACTGTTGGAAAAGCATTCCAGGTGAAGCTGGTTGAGAGAATGCCAAGACTGTGCAAAGCTGACATCAAGGCAAAGGGTGGCTACTTTGAAGAATATAAAATAAAATATATTTTCATTTTTGTAACACTTTTTTGGTTACTACATGATTCCATATGTGTTATTTCATAGTTTTGATGTCTTCACTATTATTCAACAATGTATAAAATAGTAAAAATAAAGGAAAACCCTTGAATGAGTAGGTGTGTCCAAACTTTTGACAGGTACTGTGTGTGTGTGTGTATATATACACACACATATACATACACACATACATACACAGCTGCGGAAAAAATTAAGAGACCACTGCAAAATTATCAGTTTCTCTGGTTTTACTATTTATAGGTATGTGTTTGGGTAAAAATAACATTTTTGTTTCATTCTATAAACTACTGACAACATTTCTCTCAAATTCCAAATAAAAATATTGTAATTCAGAGCATTTATTTGCAGAAAATGACAACTGGTCAAAATAACAAAAAAGATGCTGTGTTGTCAGACCTCGAATAACACAAAGAAAATAAGTTCATGTTCATTTTTAAACAACACAATAGTAATGTTTTAACTTAGGAAGAGTTCAGAAATCAATATTTGGTGGAATAACCCTGATTTTCAATCACAGCTTTCATGCGTCTCGGCATGCTCTCCACCAGTCTTTCACATTGATGTTGGGTGACTTTATGCCACTCCTGGCGCAAATATTCAAGCAGCTCGGCTTTGTTTGATGGCTTGTGACCATCCATCTTCCTCTTGATCACATTCCAGAAGTTTTCTATGGGGTTCAGGTCTGGAGATTGGGCTGGCCATGACAGGGTCTTGATCTGGTGGTCCTCCATCCACACCTTGATTGACCTGGCTGTGTGGCATGTCGCATTGTGCTGCTGGAAAAACCAATCCTCAGAGTTGGGGAACAATGTCAGAGCAAAGGGAAGCAAGTTTTCTTCCAGGACAACCTTGTACGTGGCTTGATTAATGCGTCCTTCACAAAGACAAATCTTCCCGATTCCAGCCTTGCTGAAGCACCCCGAGATCATCACCGATCCTCCACCAAATTTCACAGTGGGTGCGAGACACTGTGGCTTGTAGGCCTCTCCAGGTCTCCGTCTAACCATTAGACGACCATGTGTTGGGCAAAGCTGAAAATTGGACTCATCAGAGAAGATGACCTTACTCCAGTCCTCTACGGTCCAATCCTTATGGTCTTTTGCAAACCTCAGCCTGGCTCTTCTTTGCTTCTCATTGATGAAGGGCTTTTTTCTAGCTTTACACGACTTCAGCCCTGCCCCTAGGAGCCTGTTTGGAACCGTCCTCGCCGTGCACTTCACCTCAGCTGCCGTTTGCCATTCTTTTTGTAGGTCACTTGACGTCATCCTACGGTTGTTGAGTGACATTCGAATGAGATGGCGGTCATCCCGGTCAGTAGAGAGTCGTTTTCACTCTCTGCCAGTCTGTAGCTTTGTTGTCCCCAATGTCTGCTGCTTGACCTTGTTCTTATGAACCGCCGTCTTTGAAATTTTAAGGACGGAAGCAACCTGACGCTCACTGTATCCCTCTGCCAGTAAAGCCAGAATTGAACCCTTCTTTTCCTCACTCAAAACTTTCCTTTTCAACTCTTTTGGCATGGTCAATAGTTTTTTTTTTTATTAATATTACTTTTGAGGTACTATTAGCACTGTTTTTGCCATCCAGCTGGTCCTATTGTAAGAGGATAGTGATAACCACAGCAGTGGTTTTGATACTTTTCCTCGTTAAATAAGATTTGGTTCAGGTGATCACCTAATCAGTACCTAATTCATTAGAATGAGGTGTGCCTATGTTGGAATTCAACAGACACTGGAATGGAATGGCTGTCATACATGTAGAGATGCTGATTTAAAAAATGTTTGCAGTGGTCTCTTAATTTTTTCCACAGCTGTATATATATATATATATATATATATATATATACATGGCCAAAATTGTTGGCACCCCTGAAATTTTTCCAGAAAATGAAGTATTTCTCACAGAAAAGTATTGAAATTACACATGTTTTGCTATGCACATGTTTATTTCCTTTGTGTGTATTGGAATAACACAAAAAAAACAGGAAAAAAGCAAATTTGACATAATTTCACACAAAACTCAAAAAATGGGCCGGACAAAATGATTGGCACCCTTAACTTAATATTTAGTTGCACACCCTTTGGAAAAAATAACTGAAATCAGTCGCTTCCTATAACCATCAATAAGCTTCTTACACCTCTCACCCGGAATTTTGGACCACTCTTCTTTTGCAAACTGCTCCAGGTCTCTCATATTGGATGGGTGCCTTTTCCCAACAGCAATTTTAAGATCTCTCCACAGGTGTTCAATGGGATTAAGATCTGGACTCATTGCTGGCCACTTCAGAACTCTCCAGCGCTTTGTTGCCATCCATTTCTGGGTGCTTTTTGAAGTATGTTTGGGGTCATTGTCCTGCTGGAAGACCCATGATCTCGGACGCAAACCCAGCTTTCTGACACTGGGCCCTACATTGCGACCCAAAATCCTTTGGTAATCCTCAGATTTCATGATGCCTTGCACACAGTCAAGGCACCCAGTGCCAGAGGCAGCAAAACAACCCCAAAACATCTTTGAACCTCCACCATATTTGACTGTAGGTACTGTGTTCTTTTCTTTGAAGGCTTCATTACATTTTCGGTAAACAGTAGAACGATGTGCTTTACCAAAAAGCTCTATCTTGGTCTCATCTGTCCATAAGACGTTCTCCCAGAAGGAATTTGGCTTACTCATGTACATTTTGGCAAACTGTAGTCTTGCTTTTTTATGTCTCTGTGTCAGCAGTGGGGTCCTCCTGGGTCTCCTGCCATAGCGTTTCATTTCATTCAAATTTCGACGTATAGTTCGCGCTGACACTGATGCACCCTGAGCCTGCAGGACAGCTTGAATTTCTTTGGAACTTGTTTGGGGCTGCTTATCCACCATCCGGACTATCCTGCGTTGCAACCTTTCATCAATTTTTCTCTTCCGTCCACGTCCAGGGAGATTAGCTACAGTGCCATGGGTTGCAAACTTCTTGATCATGTTGCGCACTGTGGACAAAGGAACATCTAGATCTCTGGAGATGGACTTGTAACCTTGAGATTGTTGATATTTTTCCACAATTTTGGTTCTCAAGTCCTCAGACAGTTCTCTTTTCCTCTTTCTGTTCTCCATGCTTAGTGTGGCACACACAGAAACACAATGCAAAGACTGAGTCAACTTCTCTCCTTTTTATCTGCTTTCAGGTGTGATTTTTAGATTGCCCACACCTGTTACTTGCCCCAGGTGAGTTTAAAGGAGCATCACATGCTTGGAACAAACTTATTTATCCACAATTTTGAAAGGGTGCCAATAACTTTGTCCGGCCCATTTTTTTAGTTTTGTGTGAAATTATGTCAAATTTGCTTTTTTCCTGTTTTTTTTTGTGTTATTCCAATACACACAAAGGAAATAAACATGTGCATAGCAAAACATGTGTAATTTCAATACTTTTCTGTGAGAAATACTTCATTTTCTGGAAAAATTTCAGGGGTGCCAACAATTTTGGCCATGACTGTATATATATGAGGCAGGCAAATGCCTTTCACTGAGCTGTGTTAAGACAGACAGACAGGGGTGAGACAATCTTTTGTTGTTTGCAGATGCACTATCCTTCTGACACTATGCAGCCAGGTCTCATCTACTTTTTAAACTCCTCGCATTGTGGCTTGTTTGGTGTCTGCTGTGAAGGAATACCACAACAAGTCAACTACTTGATTGATGAAGGCATGTCTTCCAGCAAAGGCAGCAGCGCAGTCATCAACTGCATGCACCATTTCTTCACCAATTACAGAGTTGGGGAAATACGCGTGGACCTGAATTGTGATAACTGCAGTGGCCAAAACAAGAACAAGTTTGTGCTCTGGTATTGTGCCTGGTGGACCACGCACAAGCTCCACCAAAGTCTGGGCCTTCACTTCCTGATCACAGGCCACACCAAGTTTGCCCCCGACTGCTGCGTGAACACGGTCTGAGATTGCTGGTGTTGTGAAGGACAGCACTGTGACAGGGGTCAACATCCCACAGCTGGTTGGACAGTAGGATGGTACGGTGCTGGTGGAAAGCTATGGCTGGCAACAACACCTGACTCCTTACTCCAGGCCACTGCCACAGATCAAACAGTACCAGCACTTCATGTGAATATAATTTTCATTGTATGAGGTTATTCTTCTTATCTAAACTTGGGAGCTGAATTTATGTTTTGCAAGGTTTTAATGTCTTCTCAATTTTTTATTTTATTTCCTGTTTTACAGCTTCGATGCTGTGGAGCCTGGTGTTGTTGTCGCCAAGGAGCGTTCGGACTCAAGTCGGGACCAGGTTTCAGCTGCTGCGCAATGCTGACATCCTTCCTCCCATAGATGGTCTGCCTGTTCAAGCACCACCTGGACTGGACACAGCTAGACAAACGTATCTTTTTGAGAAGATCAGGGAGTTTTGCGACATAGAGGCTATGGACATCACATGCCCTGCACCAAAGTCAAGGACAGGACAGAAAGAGGCTCTCCGAATATAGATTCCCTTGTTCATGCGTGGTTCAGACGGACCAGTCATCAGCACTATCTGCAGTGCCTCTATTCAAATGACTCTCTCCTAACACACACCATACGTTGCTGCTAATATTATTATTATTTTTATCCTGCTGCTCAGCCACTTTACCCCTGATTGTATGCATATAACTACCTCATCTATCACTGATATCGTTATTGTACATACTGTATATTATTTTATTTATATTGACACTATTTCTGATATTGCTACTATGCAAGTAACCACTTGGCTGTACCGTTTACACCTTCTGTAGAGACCCATCCACTTAGCAAGATGTGGCTGGGGCTTATAGCATTTCTTTCACATGAATTTAGATAAGCGTGTCTGGGTAAGCGTCATCTAATATTTATAAAATATTTTTATCTGGACAGTTTCTGTTTACCTGGAATTTTTCCTTATTGTAGGCTACTACTTTTAGTCTTAATCTTTACTACACTACTCACTGTTTAGCACATGACCTCACATGTGAATCCTTAAAGAGATTGGTGGGTGAGGCTGGCTTAAGAGCAATGCTGAATGGGTGTAGAGAAAGGAGAGCTCTCCAGTAGGTATCAAAACATTCAAAGGCCATTTTCTCAAAAGTGAGTTTACAAGTTTATCAACTTTCAAAGCAGAATTACTTTCCCATTGTTCCTCAAATGCAGTGTATGATATACACTTTTGTAGCTCTGAGTCTCTACTTTTATCCAATGTAAAAAACACAATTTCAAATGTTGCTACATAAGACCGATTTGAGCCAGTCGGTCACATTTGGTTTGCTAGTTCTCTACTCCACAATATACAGTGCCTTCGGAAAGTATTCAGACCCCTTCCCTTTTTCCACATGTTGTTACAGCCTTATTTTAAAATGGACTAAATACATGTTTTTCCTCAATCTACACACAATACACCATAAAGACAACGCAAAAACAAGTTTTTAGAAATGTATGCAAATGTATTACGAATAAAATTGATACCTTATTTACATAAGTATTCAAACCCTTTGCTATGAGACTCAAAATTGAGCTCAGGTGCATCCTGTTTCCATTGATCATTCTTGAGATGTTTCTACAAATTCATTGAAGTCCACCTGTGGTAAATTCAATTGATTGGACATGATTTGGAAAGGCACACACCTGTCTATATAATGTCCCACAGTTGACAGTGCATGTCAGAGCAAAAACCAAGCCATGATGTCGAAGGAATTGTCTGTAGAGCACAGAGACAGGATTGTGTCGATGGCACAGATCTGGGGAAGGGTACCAAAACATTTATGCAGCATTGGGGATGTTTTTCAGTGGCAGGGAGACTAGTCGGGGTCGAGGGAAAGATGAACGGAGCAAAGTACAGAGAGATTCTTGATGAAAACCTGCTCTAGGGCGCTCAGGACCTCAGACTGGGGCGAAGGTTCACCTTCCAACAGGACAATGACCCTAAGCACACAGCCAAGACAACGCAGGATTGGCTTCGGGACAAGTCTCTGAATGTCCTTGAGTGGCCCAGCCAGAGGCCGGACTTGAACCCGATCTAACATCTCTGGAGAAACCTGAAAATAGCTGTCCATCCAACCTGACAGAGCTTGAGAATAATGAGAGAAATTCCCCAAATACAGGTGTGCCAAGCTTGTAGAGTCATTCCCAAGAAGACTCGATGCAGCAATCTCTGCCAAAGGAGCTTCAGCAAAGTACTGAGTAAAGGGTCTGAATACTTATGTAAATGTTATATTTCAGTTTTTAATCAATTTGCAAAAATTTCTAAAAACCTGTTTTTGCTTTGTCTTATTGATGGGGGGGACAATTTAATCCATTTAGAGTAAGGCTGTAACGTAACAAAATGTGGAAAAAGATATGGTGTCTGAATACTTTACGAATGCACTGTACATCACATCAATGGAGTTGGCGGAGATGACTGTGGGAGGATTGAACCGCCGACTACGTTGAGTCGTGTTTGTTCTCTGTAGCTACGTTCCTTTGTTTGCTGAAATCCATACTTTAATAAAACTTTTGTCAAATACAACCACCTTGTATCGACTGACAGCGACTCCGCCCACAGTTATCGCAACCCAACTCCACCGAGATGAACATATCGTGGAGTTGAGAAACCTAGCTAACTTGCTAGCTATAGGTGGCTAGCTTGTCAAGCTATCAAACTTATTGGTAACAGCAGAGACAATCAATCCCCTCCTGGATCAAGTGCAAGTAGCCTTTTGAGATAATTGTATAACTTTATGAGCTGGGTTGTCTTTCCTTGCATTGTTCGTTCGCTTGCGCTTATTAGTATTTAGCTAGCGTCTGCTATGGGAACTCGCTAGTACTTTGTAAGCATTTGTTAGCATAATATATATTCTTTACGTTTGGAAAGGAATAGCGCCCCCTGTGTGCAGTGCTGGTAGTACCGTATACCCCGGTATGGTACAGGAACATTATGAAGGTATGGAAATCTGGATACCGACTAACCCTAGGGAGTGTCACTGTTCCAAGGTCCACACTAGCATATCTTGTAGAATGAAGACATGTATTGGGCATGCACTGTAAGTAGTATGCTAGTTACTCACATCTTCTGCTTTCCTCCTGAGGAACAGCGTTTGGCTCAGCTCATAGACATTTACATTACAGATCAGAAGGACATCAAAGGCAGCGTTCACCCCCTGAGAGAAGAGATGAGAAACATTAGAGATTAGACATTCAAGCACAATCTAAACCAGCGACACACATCTTCATCAGAGAATTGCTGGGTCAAGTTCACAAGAGTTAAATATAGGCTACAAATGTATTTGGCTTCCATTACTCAAGCTTAGTCAAACACAATGTACCCGCAGGGATCACATACACATACAAAAAATCTATGCACTTTGGATAAAAGCGGCTGCTAAGTCGCATTTATTTAGTAGTAAGGGGAGGATATTTTGATGCCCCTACCAGGACTGTGATGCCTTGTTCTTTGCAGAGCATAGCCGCAGCGCACAGCAAGAGGCTTACAGCAACCCAATGGATGGAAAACTTCTCATCTCTCTCACTACCTGCAGAAGACATCCATAGATGAGTTAGACGTAGTTCATAAATTAAATATTCAAACGATAAAATGGTTTATGCATTAAATATTCAAACGATAAAATGGTTAATAAACAATTTTTTGCTTATTTGAGCTGTTCTTGCCATAATATTGACTTGGTCTTTCACCAAATAGGGCTACCTTCTGTATACCACCCCTACCTTGTCACAACACAACTGATTCGCTCAAACTTATTAAGAATGAAATAAATTCAACAAATTAACAAGGCCCACCCGTTAATTGAAATGCATTCCAGGTGACTACCTCATGAAGCTGGTTGAGAGAATGACAAGAGTTTGCAAAGCTGTCTTCAAGGCAAAGGGTGGCTACTTTGAAGAATCGCAAATATAAAATATTGATTTGTTTAACAATTTTTTGGTTACTACATGATTCCATATGTGTTATTTCATAGTTTTGATGTCTTGAATGAGTAGGTGTGTCCAAACTTTTGCCTGGAACATATACATATATATATATATATATATATATATATATATACAGTGGGGAGAACAAGTATTTGATACACTGCCGATTTTGCAGGTTTTCCTACTTACAAAGCATATAGAGGTCTGTAATTTTTTATCATAGGTACACTTCAAATGTGAGAGATGGAATCTAAAACAAAAATCCAGAAAATCACATTGTATGATTTTTAAGTAATTAATTTGCATTTTATTGCATGACATAAGTATTTGATACATCAGAAAAGCAGAACTTAAAATTTGGTACAGAAACCTTTGTTTACAATTACAGAGATCATATGTTTCCTATAGGTCTTGACCAGGTTTGCACACACTGCAGCAGGGATTTTGGCCCACTCCTCCATACAGACCTTCTCCAGATCCTTCAGGATTCGGGGCTGTCGCTGGGCAATACGGACTTTCAGCTCCCTCCAAAGAATTTCTATTGGGTTCAGGTCTGGAGACTGGCTAGGCCACTCCAGGACCTTGAGATGCTTCTTACGGAGCCACTCCTTAGTTGCCCTGGCTGTGTGTTTCGGGTCGTTGTCATGCTGGAAGACCCAGCCACGACCCATCTTCAATGCTCTTACTGAGGGAAGAAGGTTGTTGGCCAAGATCTCGCGATACATGGCCCCATCCATCCTCCCCTCAATACGGTGCAGTCGTCCTGTCCACTTTGCAGAAAAGCATCCCCAAAGAATGATGTTTCCACCTCCATGCTTCACGGTTGGGATGGTGTTCTTGGGGTTGTACTCATCCTTCTTCTTCCTCCAAACACGGCGAGTGGAGTTTAGACCAAAAAGCTATGTTTTTGTCTCATCAGACCACATGACCTTCTCCCATTCCTCCTCTGGATCATCCAGATGGTCATTGGCAAACTTCAGACGGGCCTGGACATGCGCTGGCTTGAGCAGGGGGACCTTGCGTGCACTGCAGGATTTTAATCCATGACGGCGTAGTGTGTTACTAATGGTTTTCTTTGAGACTGTGGTCCCAGCTCTCGTCGGGTCATTGACCAGGTCCTGCCGTGTAGTTCTGGGCTGATCCCTCACCTTCCTCATGATCATTGATGCCCCACGAGGTGAGATCTTGCATGGAGCCCCAGACCGAGGGTGATTGACCGTCATCTTGAACTTCTTCCATTTTCTAATAATTGCGCCAACAGTTGTTGCCTTCTCACCAAGCTGCTTGCCTATTGTCCTGTAGCCCATCCCAGCCTTGTGCAGGTCTACAATTTTATCCCTGATGTCCTTACACAGCTCTCTGGTCTTGGCCATTGTGGAGAGGTTGAAGTCTGTTTGATTGAGTGTGTGGACAGGTGTCTTTTATACACGTAACAAGTTCAAACAGGTGCAGTTAATACAGGTAATGAGTGGAGAACAGGAGGGCTTCTTAAAGAAAAACTAACAGGTCTGTGAGAGCCGGAATTCTTACTGGTTGGTAGGTGATCAAATACTTATGTCATGCAATAAAATGCAAATTAATTACTTAAAAATCATATAATGTGATTTTTTGGATTTTTGTTTTAGATTCTGTCTCTCACAGTTGAAGTCTACCTATGATAAAAATTACAGACCTCTACATGCTTTGTAAGTAGGAAAACCTGCAAAATCGGCAGTGTTTCAAATACTTGTTCTCCCCACTGTATATATATTTATTTATTTATGGATATGCTTCCAAGACAGAGATCAACGATGTTAACTTAAGAAATCTGAAAACATGAATGAGATGTGTGTGCATTGTCTATAGATGTGAAGCATGTTCTTACTCTCTCTGTATACATTCAAGCAACCATGACACACCATCTTTCATGCATACGACACCCACCTCCTCTGAAGGCTTTGCAGTAGGTCAGAAAGGAAAGCTGGAAGAACAGTGCACACAGTAGGTCTGCCCGGCCTACAATCCCTGCCACCTTAGAGAGAAAAAGAGGGGTTTAACTGCTGTACGAGAGACAGAATTCAGTCATTCAGCCGGCCACCGCAGCCCTCACACACCACCACCGGGTCTGAATAAGCTTCTAATAGTCTGGGCCTCGCTCAAAACGCACACCTTTCCGATGCACACCCCAACTGAGACGGGCCTTTGTTCCTGGCATGTCTCTAACGCATGTTTAATACAACAAACACCCACGGCTGTTGGAACATGTTGTGATATGAGGCTGTTATTATTTTGGAAAGTAAGTGAAGAGATATTGTTTTCCAGAGGGGGAATCATAGAATTGGGCAAAGTTACAATGGGCAACTTGAACAAAGTCTATCAGTTCGAAATGTTACATATCAAATGGTACACCAGATATGGCCGCCGTTACACCATTACCCACCACGGAATATTGCTTTGATTGAGGACTTCCCTTCTAGTCCATTCTGATTCTATAGAGCTAACAACCCAGTGTCATCATAGCTCCAGTGCCGGAGGTTTTAGTAACAGCACTGCCGACTCCGGACTATGCATTGCCCCTTGTGATGGGACCGGGTTCAATCCCCAAGTCTCCCACTTTTCATCTTTGCGTACAGTATCCATCTCATAGGTCTCCTCATCCCAAGTCAATCTCAATAAAACAAACAAATATTATGTGATAGCCATGCAAGAACGGTAGCTTCATAGTACCTGTCTGTGTGTTTTCACTATTTCTTACATCCCTCCCTCCCATACATTTTTTGTCTACTTACGCTTTCGGTGTGAACGGGGTGCGCTGCAAAGAGAAGACCAGCCAGGAGAGAGGCTTTGGGTGCGTGACTGATCCTGTTCCCATTCCCATCGTATGCCAAGCCACCGAGCAGTATTGAGAACATGTCGATCATCAGCGCTGATATGAGACTGTGCAGGCCGATGTTTAGCACGTGGAAGCCTACTGGGTGCAGCCCACCAGCCATGAGGTAGTTGAGTCTGCGTCCATAATAAAGGGATGTCAATACACAATGATAACAGCATGATTTCTACAAACAGTAATGATACAGGGATATCAATAATACACAATGATACCAACACAGTACCTACATGTACTATCAAATTGGCTTAGCTAGAGATACAATGGGACATTGTGTACTTATTTAATAATAAAAAATATATCTGAATACTTATACAAAACAAAAAATACAAACACAACATGTAAAGTGTTGGTCCCATGTTTCCTGAACTGAAATACAAGATTCCAGACATTTTCCATACGCACAAAAAGCTTATTTCTCTCAAATTGTGCAGAAATGTGTTTACATGCCTGTAAGTGAGCATTTCTCCTTTGCAAAGATAATCCATCCACCTGACAGGTGTGGCATATTAAGAAGCTGATTAAACAGCATGATCATTACACAGGTGCACCTTGTGCTGGGGACAATAAAAAGCCACTCTAAAATGTGCAGTTTTGTCACACAACACCACAGGTTTCTCAAGTTGAGGGAGCGTGCAATTGGCATGCTGACTGTAGGAATGTCCAACAGAGCTGTTGCAAGATAATTTATTGTTCATTTCTCTACCATAAACTGTCTCCAATGTCGTTTTAGTGTACGTCCAACAGGCCTCACAACCGCAGACCACATGTAACCTCACCAGGGTCTTGACCTGACTGCAGTTCAGGGTCGTAACCGACTTCAGTGGGCAATTGCTCACATTCGATGGCCACTGGCACGCTGGAGAAGTGTGTTCTTCACGGATTAATCCCGGTTTCAACAGTACCGGACAGATGGCAGAAACCTTGTATGGCTTTGCTGATGTCAACGTTGTGAACAGAGTGCCCCATGGTGTCAGGCATAAACTACAGAAAACGAACAAAACTGCATTTTTTCAACGGCAATTTGATAAAATACCGTGACGAGATACTGAGGCCCATTGTCGTGCCATACATCTGCCGCCATCACCTTATGTTAAAGCATGTTAACGCACAGCCCCATGTCGCAAGGATCTGTACACAATTCCTGGAAGCTAAAAATGTCCCAGTTCTTCCATGGCCTGCATACTCACCAGACAAGTCACCCATTGAGCATGTTTGGGATGCTCAAACAATATCCAGCAGCCATTGAAGAGGAGTGGGACAACATTCCACAGGCCGCAATCAACAGCCTGATCAACTCTATGCGAAGGAGATTTCCCACGCTGCATGAGGCAAATGGTGGTCACACCAGATACTGACTGGTTTTCTGATTCACACCCCTACAATTTTTTAAGGTATCTGTGACCTTGCATTTATATTTTTGTTCAGTGTACTTCGAATGTATGTGAAAGTAATTTAGATATTTAAAATAGTATTTGAACCCAGGTTTGGTTGTAATACTTAATGTGATGAGTCCAAATATCAGCAACAAAATGAATAGCAGTTTGGTTTAGAATCGTGAAGTAGTCCTGTGCACAGACAGTTGCAGCCTTTTCGGTGCATGGCTTTTATAATATAGGCTAGTTCTAGCATAGTTTTCTGTGAACACACACCAGGACTGACAGCCAACCCATCTCTCTAATTGCTTTCCCTTTTACACTGCATCACCAAAGGTATGTGGACACCTGCCCAAACAGCTCATTCCAAAATCATGGGCATTAATATGGAGTTGGTCCCCCCTTTGCTGCTATAACAGCCTCCACTCTTCTGGGAAGGATTTCCACTAGATGTTGGAACATTGCTGCGGGGACTTGCTTCCATTCAGCCACAAGAGCATTAGTGAGGTCGGGCAATGATGTTTGGCGATTAGGCCTGGCTCGCAGTCGGCGTTCCAATTCATGCAAAAGGTGTTGGATGGGGTTGAGGTCAGTCAAGTTCTTCCACACCGATCTCGACAAACCATTTCTGTATGGACCTCACTTTGTGTACAGGGGCATTGTCATGCTGAAACAGGAAAGGGCCTTCCCCAAACTGTTGCCACAAAGTTGGAAGCACAGCATCATCTAGAATGTCATTCTGTAGCGTTAAGATTTCTCTTCACTGGAACTAAGGGGCCTAGCCTGAACCATAAAAAACAGCCCCAGACCATTATTCCTCCTCCACCAAACGTTACAGTTGGCACTATGCATTTGTGCAGGTAGCGTTCTCCTGGCATCGGCCAAACACAGATTCGTCCGTTGGACTGCCAGATGGTAAAGCATGATTCATCACTCCAGAGAACACGTTCCCACTGCTCCAGAGTCCAATGGCGGCGAGCTTTACACCACTCCAGCCGACGCTTGGCATTGTGCATGGTGATCTTAGGCTTGAGTGCGCCTGCTCGGCCATGGGACAGAAAGTTGTTAGGATGAATTGAGGCATTTATGAGCCAAATTTTTGATCTGTCCGTCTGTCTGTACATTGACAGAGCTACCTTGCAGACAGTCTTGTGAGTGAGTGAGTGTTCATGGCATGCATGTGTGTAACCTACCTAAAGGTGAGGACAGTGAGCGGCCTGTAGGACTTGTGGCTGTTGTTGCTGCTCAGGTTACTTCCCCAAAAGTCATTTCTCCAGATGTTGTTGAGGGGTGTGGCTGGGTTCAGGTCCTGTGAGAGAGACACATCAGAAAAGAGACATAACAAAAAACAACTTTAGATGGCCAGGGATTTTTTTATTTTATTACACATCCATTGATGTGTATAAGTAAGACTTGGAATATGACATAAGTATACTTTGTACTGTATGCAGTATGCACTGTAGCTATGAGGTTATTTTAAGCTACTGATGAAATGATGTAAACAATACAGTCTTTGAATAGATCATGCTTTTATAGACACTGCATCTTTTAAGATGTACCTCAGAAGATGTATTGAGTATGTGATAAGTAGATCATATTATTACCTTGTTATTCACAATGGCTTCGGAATCATCGAACACAAAGTCTCCATCATAGCTGTTGATAAAGCAGAGCAGTGCCACCAGTGCCACAATGATTTTGGCATGGAGTGGGGCAAGCTTTGGTAAGGGTATCTGGTGGTCCCAATGAACTTCAGTCTGTGCCATGGTGCATAGGGTCTTTAGTCATCCTGCATCATTACCTATTCCCTACAGGAAATGAGCATGGAATGGTGTGATAAGACTGAAGTGTTGGTGACATAATAACAATAGCCTACCCCCTACAGCATTTTTTTTTTTTTTCACCTTTATTTAACCAGGTAAGCCAGTTGAGAACAGGTTCTCATTTACAACTGCGACCTGGCCAAGATAAAGCAAAGTGTGCCTTTACCTTGTAGAAAACGAAGCTATTGGTTAACTATTGTTATTTGTACAATATTACGATTATAGAAATATCTTCACATCAGTCTGTTTGCAAGCTACAGGGCTTGCAGGGACACGCACGTAGAGCATGCATACCTCATTATATTGGAAGACGTTTTGGAGGATGAGCTTGCAAGCATGAGTTCCATCGTAGCGTCTTGATAGTTAGATACAACTGGCTGGCTAACCTTACTAAAAGAATTTCGTTGCAACCAGCATCAGAGCAACTGCTAATAATGGCAATTCATATAGCCTTTAGGCGAACTAAAATGATTGCAAATCTTGCCAAGTTGAGTTGTTGCCAAGTAAACGCTGTTCGCTAACTATTAGCCAGCTAACGTTAGCTGATGCTGTTCGTCGGATAGCGGCAACCAATTTGACTCCTACGTCTGCAGATGTACCGAAAGAAAACACTCAAGGTGGCGAGAAATGCAGATTGGCCGTCAACTACACCGCTAACACTGTCTATCTAGTAAATAAACAACTCGCGACTGTATGCATACACTGTCTGCCTGCCTGGTACTTCCTCGCTTGCTGGCGCGTGGAATACGTTGGGATGATGACGAAGGAAAGTGGATGTCACGTGACATCAAATGGGTTACGTTGGAACCACACAAGGCCGCGGATTGTATAAATGTAGCTATCTAGTTAAATTTAGATGCAGCTAACAGCTTAGATACATATATGAATAGATGTTTGACCAATAATGTATTTATTGCAATATCTTTACCTTGGAGTTTTTGAACAATTGATGGTTCTTTCATAGCCTATTAGCACCTGCAAAACTAGCAATTAGCCTATACAAGGTCTTGTGCGATTTGGTCTGTATGTAGGTCTTTGACTTTAGCATATGGATATAAATAAGAATGCAGAATATTTGACATTATGAACTTTGTTATGACATAACAGTCAGTTACCCTATTACAGAAAACATTGGCCTACAATGTGGAAGAAAGAGAGCTGGCCCCATGCAATGGAAGAATGACAGTAGACCTACTAGTACCAGGTACCAACCAACAAGACCGATAGCTGTGTCAGTGTCTGTATTTATTGAATTGTACTGACTAATGCTTTGCAAGGAGAAATATACTGTAAGTGATCAAAGACCAATAAGAGGGCCATGGCCTAGCCTTAAATTTAGGTGAAAAGTCAAAAGTCAGTAAAAAAAGAAATGCTTTCATATTTAATCATGGTGATGGTATTGCATATTATCTATGTGTAAGCATGAGAAAGACACTTCTTTTGATAACATTAAAGAGTGTTACTGATAAACTGCATCTCCATGAACAGAGGAGTAAATCTTATTTTGATAACATTAAAGAGTGTTACTGATAAACTGCATCTCCATGAACAGAGGAGTAAATCTCTCTCGCCTTTTTAATTGACGTTTTTGATTGTTTTGATATCCATCAAAGCCTCTCTTTCATGAAGACCCCAGAAGTTGAGAGATATGACACAGCACGACTACCAGAACACTTTAGCGGTGTAGCTCGGTTACCATAGTGACTGCAGCGCTGGGTGAGTCAGTGGGTTAATCAAATACAGGAAGTGGAGGAGGAGAGGTGGTTTTTAATTTCCTGATAAAGAGCAGGAGAGGAGAGCAGGAGGAGGTCTGTGCAGGAGTGGGCTGTCTGGTTTCTGCTCTCTGTCCACTGTAGGTCTACAAGCTAGATAAGCACTATCTTTAACCAGTTGACCTACCAGTGGTGAAGTTTTGGGTTGTTCTTGTGTAATAATTGATAAGTGATTATGTACATGAGGGTGTGGATATCTCATTTTACACTAGGATGATGTATGTGCTGAGCTCTGTCATTTTTCATTAATGGTGAATTCTTCTACCAACGTTATGCTTGAGATTATTATTTATTTGTATCTTACAGTGTATCACATATCTAAACACTTAACTTGTTAGCATATGTATATATTGTACTACTGTCAATGGATGCTAGTCTATATGCAGTGGCTTGACATTAGGGGCTCTATTTTAACAAACCTAACACAATGGTAAATCTAAACGCTGGCGGTAGCGCTATAGGTTCACAGGTGTGTCAGAAAATCTTAGCAAATTTCACAACCAGAATTATGGGTGCAGTAGCTTGCGCGAAAGGGTTGGGTTTTGATGAATAAACAAGTTAAAGGTGTGTCGAGGCTTGACCCCTCACTGTCCAATCAGAACGTGCTCCATAGCTAAATATGTGGTTACTTCAAGTTGTGTATTTACAGTCTGTTATGTATTGCGTTGTCATCAACTCTATTCGAATGTTAGTGTAACGAAGACGCAGGGAGTCAGGAAGCAGGTGCAGTCGGTGAGTTTAATAAGAACGAACATAGAGTGAATAAACAAACAAGAGTAGCGTCTGAACATGAACACAAACAATACTGCCTGATGGGTGATAACAACGGAGTGCTAGATAAAGTGGGAGTAATCAGGAAAGTGATGAAGTCTAGGTGTGCCTAATGATGAGGCGCAGGTGTGCGTAATGAAGGTTGCCAGGTGTGTGTTATGATGGGTTGCCAGGACCGGTGGTTAGTAGACCGGCGACTTCGAGCACCGGAGAGGGGGAGCGGGAGTAGATATGACAGGAGTACGGGCCCCGAGGGCGAGGAGCTGACCGGTCCGGACGGCGAAGGTGGAAATCTCGGATGATGTTGGGATCTAGAATGTCATCCACCATACCCCTCCCAGTCTGCCAGGTACTGGAGCCGACCCCCAGGACGTCAGGAGTCCAGGAGGGATCTGACAGCATAGACAGGGCTGACCTCGATGTCCAGGGGAGGTGGAGGGGTGTCGTGGGGGACGGCATCAGCCAGGAACCACCAGCCTGAGGAGGATAACGTGAAAAGAAGGTGAGATCCGGTAGTTAGTGGGGAGCTGTAATCGGTAAGTTACCTCATTGACCCTCCGGAGGACTTTGAATGGCCCTACAAACGGGGGGCTCAGCTTCCGGCGGAGCAGGAGGTTCCTGGTGGAGTGCCAGATGTGATCAACAGGATGGAATATGGGTGCCTCACTGCGGTGGCGGTCCACCTGCTCCTTCTGGCAGTGTACGGCGCGTTGGAGCCTCACGTGGGCATCACATGGGCAGTGTCCCAAACCTCCTCCATAACCACTCCCTGCGGGCTGATCCGATATCCCAAGAAGGAGACGGCGGCCTGATGGAAATGCCACTTCTCCGCTTTGACATACAGATGGTTCTCCAGGAGGCATCCCAGTAATACCCGGATGCGGGCGATGTGCTCCTCCAAGGTGGCCGAGTAGATCAGGATGTATTCGATATACACGACCACCTGAAACCCAAGCATGTCCCGGAACAACTCGTTAACGAATGCCTGGAACACCGGCAGAGCATTGGCTAAACCATAAGGCATCACCAAGTACCCGTAGTGACCAGACATTGTGCTAAAGGCCGTCTTCCAATCATTCCCCTGACGGATGCGGATCAAATTGTAGGCACTCTGCATGACCAGCTTAGTAAAAAAACGGGCCCCGCGGAGCTGTTCGATGGCAGCACCAACGGGAGGGGGTAGCGGTACTTGGTGGTGATGCCATTGAGACCTCTGTAGTCAATACACGGACGTAGACCCCCCTCCTTCTTGGCCATGAAGAAGAAACCAGCCGACGCAATGGAGGTGGATGGGCAGATGAAACCCTGTTGGAGAGCCTCCTGGATGTACTCCTCCATAGCCTTGGTTTCAGCCACCGACAGGGGGTAGTCGCGGCTGCACAGAGTCTGTTAGCAGGTCGATGCCACAGTCCCAGGGGCGATGAGGTGGGAGACAGGTGGTGCGGGTCTTGGAGAAAACCTCCCGGAGATCCTGGTAAACCTCCAGGATGTCGGCCTGGAGGGCAACCACAGGACTCTCAACCGCATGAATAAACGAACAAGAGTAGCGTCTGAACATGAACACATAAACAATACTGCCTGATTGGTGATAACAACGGAGTGCTAGGTAAAGGGGGCGTAATCAGGGATGTGATGAAGTCCGGGTGTGCCTAATGATGAGGCGCAGGTGTGCGTAATGAAGGTTGCCAGGTGTGCGTAATGATGGGTTGCCAGGACCGGTGGTTAGTAGACCGACGACCTCGAGCGCCGGAGAGGGGGAGCAGGAGTAGACGTGACAGTTAGTGTCTGAGCCATGGACATGCCAAATATTGTCAAGAAGCAAGATTAAATTCACTATTGATAAGACCTAAAAATACAGTGAATAAATGTAATTTTTTTGTTATTGTTTGTTTTTAATTTTTACCACTTTTTCTCCCCAATTGGTAGTGACAGTCTTGTCCCATCGCTGCAACTACCGTACGGACTCGGGACAGGCGAAGGTCGAGAGCCATGCGTCCTCCGAAACACGACCCTGCCAAGCCGCACTGCTTGCTTAACCCGCACTAATGTGTCGGAGGAAACACCGTACAACTGGCGACCGTGTCATCGTGCATGCCCCCGGCCCGCCACAGGAGTCGCTAGAGCGCGATGGGACAAGAACATCCCGGCCGGCCAAACCCTCCCCTAACCCGGACGACGCTGGGCCAATTGCGACACAGCCCGGGATCGAACCCGGATATGTAGTGACTTCTCAAGCACTGCAGTGCCTTAGACCGCTGCGGCACTCGGGAGGCCCGACAGTGAATAATTCTAATCAAATTCTAATATAACAACAACTTGTTTTAAATAGGCTATGTCTACAGTTACAGAGGCACCATAATCGCTCCACTGACCGTTACTTCTACAAAATATATATAGCTA